CCTGGACAGGTTTACATTAGGAATGTTAAAAAGTGTGTAATTGGGTAATTGCTGACAATTTGAAGCTAGCTCCCAACATCAACTCCTCCTACCAGTACCACTTCCAGGGAGCTGGCTGTCAGACCATGCTACTGCCACTGATACAGAGGCAGCAGTGCAGGGTGGCAGCCAGCTCCCCAGGACCTGGTGTATGCTGGATTAGTTTTTAAACTAGCTCCCACTGCAGCCCCACTCCCAGAGAGCTGGCTGCCACTCCTGCGTTGGCTCCCCAGGAGTGGGGTGGAGCCCATGTATAACCTTGAATGCCCAGGCTTATTGGTTAACCATTTAAATGGTTATCCTTTCACATCCCTAGTTTACATTACCCTTTTTTCATAGGTGAGGGCTTATGATTAATTTAACCCTATATTATGTTAGCTGAAAGGGTGCATTCACACTCACGAAGGTGAGAAAACTTTTAAGCAAGACCCATAACAAGATTTCACCCAGTTTAAAAAAAAAAGAAGTTTTAGGGAAATTTTTCAACCAGGCAGGCTTTTTCCTGGGCTCAGTTTGTTGCTCTTGCCCCCTGCATGTTGAACAAAGCATGAGGTCTAACTCCATGCCTTAGAGTCTCCAATTCTATTTGTAAAATTACTACATACTTATACACTTGGGAACATGCTCCTTATTCCTTGGGAGAGGAGGGGGTGTGGAAAAAAGAAAGAGGGCAAAAGAATTACTTAGAGCTAATCAAACTATTTTTTCAAGTACAATTCATTATGAATCTAGTCTCTTCCTTGGCTTGTGACCTATTTCCAATGCAGCCTCAGTTGCTGAGAATGTCTTTGTTCCAATCATCTTCAAATAATTTCCCTTAGGAATAGCTCTATAACTTAACTGCTCTGGGCCTCAGTTGTGTTGTATTAGTGGTCATTTAAGTCACATGGCCATGTTGTTGCTCTCTGATTGGCTGTCTGAATCTAGCTGAAACAGGAAAGCGACAGATAATGAAATTTCAGTTTGCATTTTCAAGGAAACAAACATTTGTAATAAAATGATATTCATAGTGACCCCAGATTAGCCACTTAATTGACTCTTACAATAAGCAATTTCCTCCTTCCTTGTCCCTTCCCCCCCTCGCCTCCACCTTCTGTTCTGTGTCATTTTTTTACCTTCTTTCATTGCATCCCTCTGTAATAAAATGGTCATGTCTATTCATTTTCAGAATATGATCTGAAGAAGTGGGTCTGTCCCACGAAAGCGCATCACATAATAAATTATTTTGTTAGTCTTTAAAATTCTACATGACTGCTTTTTTGTTTTATCTTTCATATGTGAGCTCACTTAAAATCTTCTTTTCTTGATAAACTTTGTTTTGCTTTTAATCTAAAATTACCCTGTACTGTGCTTGAATTAAAGTAATTATTAACTCCAGTTAAAGAGAGAAGTTATGTATTTTTTTCTCTTTAGAGGATCAAACAGACATTATAATCCCTCTATATTAGGGATGGGCAAATACCGGCCCCCAGGTCAGACCCAGTCTGCCAGGATTAGCCCCGGTGGGTGTTCTCTGGCCTCAAGAGGCAGCTTTACAACAGGCTCCTAGGTGACCATCAGCCCTTGTTCAGTGCAGGCTTTATACAAGGCATGTGCAGTCACAGCTGTTGGGAGAATGGAAAGGGAAGGGGAAATTGCCAGCCAGAATGAAAGGAAAAACATAGAGGCTTTATACAAGGCATGTGCAGTCACAGCTGTTGGGAGAATGGAAAGGGAAGGGGAAATTGCCAGCCAGAATGAAGGGGAAAACATAGGACATCTCCACCTCTTCCCTGAATCACTAGGAACAGCACATTGGATTCCTGGCTCCCAGCCCTATGGTCTCACCACTGCCTCTGTGACAGCTGTTATTTCCTGTTACACCCTTCTCCACAGCCTCTCCACTGGCGTCTCTGCTGCCCGCCTTGGGTCAGGGACTATCTGAGATGTTGCAACAGTCTGTTCTGGCAGCTTTGCTCTGCAGTGACATGCCACTGGCTCAAGACTAAGCCAGAGCCCAAAATGTTCTCTCCTTCTCTCACAAGCTCCTATTTTTATTGGCTTCCTGAGCCAGCTGCATTGAGGAAGCACAAAATACAAATGATAGGACTGGAGTAGCAGGCGGCTCTGAGGAGAGACCCCCTCTATGGCTAGTGTAGATTCTGCTAATGAGGTCATCCCACTCACCCACATAGCTCTGTGCTGCCCCAGGTAGGGTTCCCAGATGGTTTCAACAAAGATACCGAAACACACACCCCCCAATAAAAAATGGGGAAAAATTTCTGTTGAGGGGGAAAAAAAGGGGGAGACCAAAGTTGTTGAGAAAAAAAAGACCCCAAGAGTTATTAAGCAAAAAAATAAATAAAATAAAACAGCATGGCCCCTTTAATTGCGTGCAGAGTCAGAATAGGGATAGGAAGAGGAGGGTTGAGCACTAAGACCCAGGGAAGGCTTTGTTCCCCTTGCTCAGGTCTTTAGGTTTTTTGCTGGAGACCATCTTGTTTTCTTAGTTGAGCCAGAAGGGAGCTTCCCTGCGGAACCAGGTAAGCAAGGAGTCCGGGGGCCTGGAGGGGGCCAGGCTCAGTTGCCAAGTGTGTTGTAGGGTTGCCAGGTGTCTAGTATTTTCGCCACCTGGCAGGGAAAAAATCAGAAAATACCTGACATTTTGGATGTCTGGTATTTTCTGATTTTTTTACCGGACGGGAGGCAAAAATATTGGACTGTCCGGGTCAATACTGGACACCTAGCAACCCAGGACATGGCCTGCATCCCCAGATCAGGCCCTGTGCTCAAGAGCTGCATTGCGCTGGGTTGAGTTTTACATTGGCAGGCCATATGCAGGAGCCAACAGGCCCATCACTGTTCGGGAGCTTGCAGCACTTGGTAATGTCTGTCAATAGCAGTGACAGAGAGAGGCAATTCCACAGTCATCTCCATTTTGAATGAATCCAAGGGCCAGTGTGACCTCTGCTTGAACATCAAGTGTTACAGTGGTTTGGCCATTCTTCAGCACCTCAGATTGGCCAGGCCTCACCTCACACTCATGTCTCCCCTCTACTTTGCTCACTTACGTTCACTGGGTTGAAGCAGGGGTTGGGGTGTGGGAGGAGGCAAGGGTTGCAGTGGGGGTAGCAGGCTCTGGGGTGGGACAAGGATTTGGGTGAAGGAGGGAGCTCCAGGGTGGGGCTGGAAGGTTTGGATGTGGGGTGCATGCTGTGGGAGGGAGCTCAGGGCTGAGGGAGGGGTTTCAGGATGCAGGCTGCAGGCAGCACTTATTCAAGTAGCACCTAGAAATGGTCATCACATCCCTCTGGCTCCTAGGCAGAGATGTGATCGAGCAGCTGTATATGCTGCCCCCGGCTGCAGATGCTGCTCCCATTAGCCGCGGTCCCCAACCAATGGGAGCTACAGAGCCAGTACTCAGAGCTGAGGCAGCATGCAGAGCCCCTGTGACCACACCTCTGCCTAGGAGATGCTGAGACGGACAAGCTAGCTACTTTGAGGCAGCAGGAAAAACCACAGATCAGCTGAGCAGCCTGTCCCCAAGGGATGAGGTTCATAACTAGAAAGAAATTATGTGACCCCAGCAGAAAAGAAAACAGCTGAACTGCCTAGCGTGGGATCCAGCACAGAACTAGGGTGCCCTGGAAAGTGTAGTCCAACCATCCCCAGAACCACTCTTTGCCATGCAGCCTCCAAAACAGGCAGTTTACAGGCCTTTCTCTCAGTGCCTCTGTAAAGGGAGCAAGATTGGCTGTTTCTTAGCTCACCAGTGCCCCTGTCCCATGCCACAGGGGACCCTTGTAATGGGAACCAGTGACCTAAGCCCCTATCCCAGCACTAATCCCCTGAATTATCACAGGGCCATTGCTTCATCTTGAATGCTCATTCCTTCTTGCCAGTTTGCCATCTCATGGTCCTCTTCTTTGCGCCTCTCCTGGTGGATCACCAGGCATTCAGACACAGGCTTCAGTGTAAATAAAACCCCCAAACAACCCAAGTTGTCCACATAAAACCTGAATTCAAAGAAACTCCATGTTAGGAACCAGCAGCTGCAGCCCGGGTCAGAGGGGGAAAGATTTTTTCCAAATCACACTTCAAAGGAGCAGCCTTCTTAAGACAATGTCCCACCCTAGGCCCTTTCCTGGGAGTTCCCCCTGCTTGTATGCTTTGCAAGGATATTACAGCAGATACATCTTTCAGCCTGGGAAGATCCATTTGCATCATCATTATTTTAATGCCATTTTGTTACAAACATGAAAGGGCAGGTGTAACTACGTAAAGCTGCAGTAGGCATTTCTTGCTATCACTGTAGCTGTTCCCATTGTGCTGAGCATCCTACAGACACATAGGAAGACACAGTTGCTCGCACAAGGAGATGAAGCTTTCAGAAGCCCTTGGCATTGGCCTAACTCTGCTCCTGTTGCTTTCGTTTTAAATGGGAACAGAACTGAAGCAACATGGGAGGCTTTTGAGCAGCCCCACCCTAAACAGACAATACAAAGCATGACTAGCAGAGAGGAGTGTTAGGCCAGTTTTAACTGTAGCACTGAGAGATTAAGAGACTTGCCCACGGGAAATCAGAGATAGAGCTGGGAAACTGAACCCATCTCTTCTGTGACTTCGTCTAGTTATTTAACCACTGGGCCATCCTGCCATATTCTGCTCATGTTGTAACCAAGCCCCAGAATCAGAGATGTGCTAAGCGCTGGCTGAAGCGCACCCCGAGTGTTTTAAGTGTGGGCTCAGCCACTAGAACCTGGGAGACCACGTGCGCATGAAGCACTTAGCAGCAGCATTAGCTCAGACCAGTCTGATTCTTGCCAGCTTTAAGTTAGTTCCTTATGGTTCCCAGTGTATGCAATTCTGCACAGCCTGTTAAAGAGATCCAGCCAGTAACAGCTTTCTCGTCAGCAAAGCAACGGAGGCTGTACAATCCTCTTTCCAGCCCTTTGGAAGAGTGCAGTTAAAAAAATCCAGCCAGTAACAGCTTTCTCGTCAGCAAAGCAACGGAGGCTGTACAATCCTCTTTCCAGCCCTTTGGAAGAGTGCAGAGTTTTAACATACCAGGATTAGCTGCACTGCAACAGAGCAATAGGCCAAGCCAACATCCACCTTTAGACAGTGGTCTGTTCCTGATGCTTCAGAGAAAGGCTGGCTCTCAGCATAATGCACCAAACAGCTATGCAATACTACAATCTCAACAAGTAGGATTTCCTTCCTGGCCCTGCTGATCAGCATATGCCCTGAAGCATGAGGATTTAAAGCTCATGAGACATTAATCAATGCCACGGGTATTCTCTGAAAGAGGTACCCATGTATCATCATTCTGGTAATTCTCCTTGGTGGCCTTCCTGGCTTCATTGGCTCTCCTCCGGAGTTTATGCAGGAACAAGATAATGAAGAGAAGCAGGATGGCCTGGAGGAGGATGAGGAGAAAGAGGCAGACCTGGGAGATGAGCGCGATGCTGCAGTACCAGAACTGGCATGTGGAGATGATCTCATCCTCCGACAAGTATGCAATGACCCTGCCCTGCAGGTGTTCTGGGGAGGCACACAGCACGTTCTGATACAGGGTCCGATTCTGCTGCCACTGGAGCCACGAGCGCAGGTAGAGGATGTCGCAGTCACATTCCCAGGGATTCCCCCACAGGTGGAGCACTTGGAGGTTCTTCAGGTTGTCCAGGAGCCCGCTGGGGATGCTGGTGAGATGGTTGTTGTTGAGGTAGATCATTTGAGTGGAGGGGCTGAAGGAAGCAGGGAGGCTGCTTTCCGTCAGCTCCTTCGACATGCAGTTGATGATGTTGGTGCTGCAGCTGCAGGGTGAGGGGCAGGTGGGTATCACAAGGGGGAGAAAACCCAGGAGAGAAAGGAAGAGAATCCAGCAGCTCATCTTCAGCTCTGAAACACACACACACACACAATCATCCCTGAACTCCTTGTGTCATTGTGAGCAAACCTCAGGTGCTCAGGGACAGGCACAGAATAAGCACAGCAGACAGGCACCTGGCACTGTCAAACTGAACAGGAAAACCCCCCAGGGCTTTGAGGATTTAAGTTTGGGGGTAAATTTGGAACCCATGAAGAAGAGAGACCATCGTCACTTACAAAGGCATCATTTTAGCATGTGTTGGGCAAGATTTTGCTCTCTCATACTAGGCAGGAACATCCTCCTGCTATTTTAGCCCTGGGTGTGTGGAGGGTAAACAGCTTATGATGTGACTAGACATTCACTAGAAATTGGCCGGAGGTCATCAATCTAATTTCCACTGGCACGCAGGATGGCAAAGGGATGCTAGTATTTCCCATTTGCATTACTGATGCATGTCAGTAGCTAAGGAAATTCAGAAGCAGCTGCACTAGTGCACAGAAGCCAGGTTTTGTTAACAGCAGCTTCGGGTTATTACAGAAGCAAAAAGCTACAGAAGATTCAAAAATAGTATTACACAGCTGCATGATTAAAAATAGCCAATGCAGTTTCCACAACTAGAATAAAAGTGACAAGGACAACCAGTTCTCATGTGTCAGGACATACAATGATCATCAGGTGGGCTCACATAGAAATCCCCCACTCTGTGATTGCATTGCAGCAGTAGGGGAATAGGAGGAGGCTACTCTTGTGCTGAAGGACCGAAGCATTGGTTACTGCTGCAGACAGGCTGGTGAAATAGATGAACCACTAGACCAGTGGTGGACAACTTGTGACCCGTGGGCCACATGGCCCATCAGGGTTCTATGTGTGGATGACAAGACATTTTGTTTACTCTTGCCCAAGCGCAGGGTTGCCGGATTTCACTGGTTTCCATCCGTGTGTTTTTTTCCCACTGGTGTTACTGAAGCGACATATGTGAAGTGAGGGGATGTTGCTGACTGCAGGCCTGTATGAAGGGGGGTGCGAAGGGTGTGAAAGGGTCCACCAAGTAAGCATGCTCCGGCCAGCCAGGAGAAGGCAGGAGCAATGCACTGTCTGAGCCTACTTCCCCCATGCTCTGACCAGCCGGGGAAGGCTGGGGCTGATTTCCCGCTTACTTGGAAGACCGGGAGGGTGTATTCACACCCTTCGGGTCCACATTTACCAAAAAAGCGCGCGCACACCAGAAATTCCTGAGTACGGGCCAGGATTGTAAGAGCCATGCACTCTCTCTGTATCCAGTCACAGCACTGCTATAGTTAAATCAGCACATCCTGCAAATTCTAAGTATACAAGCACAATTAGCAAATCTATTTTATCCTGGGAGACCGTTTTGGTTACTACAACCTTGCAGCCCATGGATGAAGGAAGGCCATTCACCTGGCCCATTCACTAGCCTAGATTGACCAGCGCTGCACTAGACTGTGCTAGTGTTGCAATTCTTGCAAAAACTTCTATTGGACTGTGGCTTGTACTGGGTGTGAGAAGGTTGCCGGTTGATGCCTAACCCTAACGCAGTGCTGTGCAGTAAAGCGAGTGAGGAAGGTGGCAATGTTAGCAGGACGCATTGTCTGTACTCACCTTTGCAGTTCGCTTCCCTGCTGGCCACTGGCACAAGAGAGAAATGTAGTAAGAGGACAAGCAGCACAGGCGCATTTGCAAGCACACAGCTGAGTTCCCTGATAGTTCCCAGCCTGACACTGCAAGATAAGGGAAAAGCTAGTCCCAAAGTCACCTCCCTGGAACAGCTGAGGTTTCACCAGGCAATTCTTTGGAGGGATACAAGATGACACTGGTTGTGATAATGCTTTGAATGTGGCAGGGCTAATGATGACATGAATGGCAGAAGATCTGTGTCCAGGAACATGGGAGGATAAAGGGAGGCATTGAGCTGGTATCCCTTAATGGTGTAGCCCTGCCCTGTTTTACCCCAGCACCCTTGGGAAAGGCAGCCACCTTCTTAGATAATAAACCCAGAGTATTTCTGTGCCTCTCTGGTCACTAGCAACCAAAAAATATGCAAAATCCATAGAAGAGTCTTCAAAACCCCATCAGTGCTTGGGAAAGAACCCATAATTTCCCATACTCAGCTCCACTTTGCTTGTCCAGCTCTGTCTCAACAATGGCAAATACCTCTCAATTTGTTCCCCTTCCACTAAGCCTGTTCAGTGTGCAGCTCTGGCCCTCTCAAGGCTGGAAAAGACTTAGTCATGGCAACCAGGCAGGATTAGACAGAGATCTTACTGCTCAGCTGAGAGGTTAGAAAGGAAGTTTGGAGAATCTAACATTGAGAGCAGTGTCTGTTTCAATATGCTAGGACTCCAAGTAATTCCCATAATACCTTGTGTTATGTCTTTCATCCATGAGCCCTTTACAAACTACAGGTACACAAAACTACGACTCACAACTGCTTGCAGCTGTTTCAAGAGTGTGCGGCACTGGAACAGGAAGTGAAGGAGACAGGACATGGAGTTGCAGTCTGGGACAGGAAATGCCTGGCCCCTGTAACCAGTTGATGCTAGGAGATGAGGTCTTTACTGGTTGTGGACAGGTCCCTCTTTAGTGAATCTGTCTATGTGGGGACCAAACAGGTTGGGGCAGGGAGCGAGGGGGAATCCTGTTTCCAACTGAAGCTGGAGTTAGGCAATTACTCAAGATTCAATTAGACCAGAAAATTCCGGTTCACACAATTCCCATTGTGAAAAACAGCAGGGGATCTTTCATGACTCTTACTGGATTCACAGTTCATCTGAAAGAGCATTACAGGCAGCAGTGCCCCCACCATCATATCAGAGCTGTGTGCGGTTTCAGCGAATCCTGTTTCCAACTGAAGCTGGAGTTAGGCAATTACTCAAGATTCAATTAGACCAGAAAATTCCGGTTCACACAATTCCCATTGTGAAAAACAGCAGGGGATCTTTCATGACTCTTACTGGATTCACAGTTCATCTGAAAGAGCATTACAGGCAGCAGTGCCCCCACCATCATATCAGAGCTGTGTGCGGTTTCAGCGCTCCTCAGAGGAGTTTAGATTTCCTTTGGGGGGCTTCCATTAGAGTGCTTATGTAATCCAAGCCCTTCTTAGCAGCCAGTGACTTCTGAGGAGGTGCTCTGGCTTTCAGCTGCAACCTGGGTCACTCACTGTGCAGGGAGGGAGCAGAAGAGAGGCTCTTCTGAAAATTGCTTCCTTTCACAAGGTTGCAAGGGTTGCAATGCCAGTCCGCTCCTTGCACACAAAGAAAGGCAGGATCCAGGGGAAAGCTGCAGACTAACTTGGCTGGCCAGTTCTGGGAAAGATAACGCTCATGGGAACATCCTGCTCTAGCAGGCTGGGCTTGATAGTCAGATGACTCAGCAGCACTAAGAATTAACGAGGCAGGTTTACCACATCCTGCCGGTGGGATTTGCGGCACTGGAAGACACTCCAGCCTGAGCAGTGAAGCCAAAGGGATAAAAACATCTGCAGGCCAGCTGGACACTCCTGGGATGTGGACATCATGTCCCCAGCATGTGCATTAAGGGCCATACCCTGCCCCCACTATTCCCATATAATCCCTCTCAGGTCAGGCTATTGGAATTCCATTGGGCCAGACACACTGCTCTCATTGACACATGCGTGTTGAATGCTCCCAGACCAGAGCAGGAAGGAGAACTGGGCCAACTGATTCAGTGGGGCAGTAGCTGAAGGCAGGATTTGGCCCACAATGAGGATAAAAACTCATCTCGAATATTTTAAAATGGGTGGAGAACCTCTGGCCTTGGGGTTGGATACAGTCCATGGCTTGGCTCAGCCCTACCCAGCATTGGGGAGCCCATGCTGGTTCTCCAGCCCTGCTGCGGCCCCTCTGGGGGCTGGAGTGTAAACAATCTACTAGCTTGGGCCTCCCGAGGCTCTGGTGTGTGAGGGGAATGTGGGGAGTGTCTTTTTGCTTCCCAGCCAGGGGCCACAGCGAGGGTTTCTTCTCCATTTCTCACTTGTGTGCGGCCCACAACGGATTTCAGTGGGTCAGTGGCCTGCCTCCCAACCCAAAAGAGGTTCCCCACCCCTGCTTTAAGAACATTAAACTGTAATCAGAGTGACCCAATGTGGTAGAGAAAAAGGCAGGCAGGAATTGGAACCCTAGCTCACAAATGGCTCAGCTTATGCTGTAGTGTTTTTCTTTCATTGGTGGGTGGCCAGGGTGCAACTTGGACAACCCAGGTATAGGCCAGAAACAACCATTATGATTATCTGATCTCCTGCATAACCCAGGCCAGAGAATTTGAAACTGTGCTTCCTGCATGCGAGGGCTATGGAGTGCCATTTAAAGTGGGAGGAGGCACAGATTTGCCAGCCCATACCTGACCGTCTCCTCTCATATTCTCAGGTGCCCCACCCCAGCACTCTGGCATCCCGGGACCATGTTCCCCTCTGAATGAGTAAGCAGCTCACAGAACTGCTCAGATTTAACATGGCCTATGCCTACATCCAGCCTGGTCTTGTGAAACAAGAGAACAGGACAGAATTTGCTAGGCATCTTGCATTTCTGTCCCCACTCATAACAAGTTCCCTTACTGCAGACAGAAAACAAATCAGGAAAAGGTCATTTTGTGGGTTTTTTCATATATTTATTTCACTGACCAGTTCAGGTAGTAAACATAATTAATAAGAATAACAGCTGTCATCATCATTTTAATAAAATGGACATGCTTCCGAAGGGTTTGTTTCTCTTTGTTCAAAGGACAAAATACTCAACAGAAATGTACAAGAGACCCCAACCAAACCAACAAGGGGGAAAGGAAGTGCCTAGGAACACAGCGAGGGGATGCGGAAATCACATGGTCACAAGCAAGCCGGGGTTACAAGGGTGGCTTCATGTGCAATGAGAGAGCAGGGAAAAGCTGTCGCACAGCGTGAAGAATGGAATCCCCTTTCACCTCCCCCCCTCCCAAAGGAACGGGATGCAGAACAAGGCATGCAGTGAGCCAGGAGTGGTGTAGCAATAGCACACGAACGGGTTCATCCCACCACCACCTCTCCAACCAGGCACACAGTTTAAGAGGTTGCACCCACAACTCCGGCCCAGCTACAGCTCAAAAGAACTCAGTGGAGTAGGACTCAACTCCTGGAGTCGCTAAAGCATAAAAAAATTTGCAAGAGTTTCAGATGCAGGTGTGTGTTTGCAGTGGGGAGGACAGCCTCACTGGGCCCCTGTGTGGGGGCGGAGGGAAGGCTGCGGGCTGCTCCACACCCATGGAAGGGGTGAGGCCTTGGGTGGAAGGGGGCAGCCTATAGCACCTCCTAGAGAGCACTGCACCTTCCTCAGTGCAGCCCAGAATGCAAAGCATGGTGCTCCTGCAGCAATTTAAAGGGCCTGGAGCACCAGCTGCTGCCACACTAACAGTGGCAGCCAGGAGCTCTGGGCCCTTTTGTATCGCCGGGCCCTGGGGCAGATGCCCCCTTTTCCTCCCTGATGGTGGGCCTGCATGTGTACACTTAGGTGTGTGTGGTAGGGGGAAGGAGCAACCTATTCATACACTTAATTTCCTTCACTGCTACAAGGGATGACAGCCTCCCTAGACCATGCTTATCCAGGAATGGCT